GTGGGTGGGTGGGTGGGTGGGTGGGTGGGTGGGTGGGTGGGTGGGTAGGTAGGTAGGTAGGTAGGTTGGTAGGTAGGTAGGAAGATGATTGGTTGATATATAGATAGACAGATAAACAGACAGATATTTTTGCCTCAAAGACCAGCTTCTAGAGTTGATATTCAGTGCTCTTAACTGAAAATATGCAGCATAATCCTTAGCAGTTTTACTTTGGTACAAGACCCATGCATTTCAGTGGATCTGATTTACAAATGTGTGTATTTGTGGTTGATGCTTTAATATTTGCATGCTTAATGTTCATATTTTTAATCAAGTCACCTAGAACCTCATCTTCATTTGGCAACAATTTGTGTGCAGTACAGAAGCACTCTGATGTGTCGGTGTTTTCAGTTATCATAATTTCATTTCATGAAATGAAATTTCATTTTTTTTAACTGAGTACAGAATGCAATGCTCTTGTGATATACTGTACCATAATCCCTTCTGGTTAACACATTACAAACCTTTGTTACTCCAGTAGCATTTTTATGACTCTAAAAAAGAAATGTTGATAAGATTTCCTTCCCAACAGTTTCTAGACAGTGACCAGGAAGTGGAAAGGAGAGAAAAGGGAAGCAAGAAGACAGGTCAGCCTTAGAAAATGCATGCACATGCTTTCAAAGCTTATTAATAACATGTTCAAACACAAATCAACATCTTTAGCTCTCTACTTCTTTGGATACTGAAACAGAATACGAGACCTGCTTTTTCTAAAGATGAGTTCTTCTGTTTTCAGATGCTTCTGAAGAAGAAGAAGCCAAGGTAAGCAGTTAAGACAATCATTAGAGTACGTGGCAGTCATCACAAATGCACACATAACTGCTTTAGATAACGAAGGATACCCAAATAAAACTACAAGGTCAGAACAGACTTAGAAGGAAAGGGACAAAAAGAAGATATTTTTTCACTTTGCATGCTTTGGTGGGGCTGGCATTGACTAGAGCAAAAGCATTCATGCACAGCTAACATTGGAGAGAACAGATTTAAAATAGAACGTATATAAATACATATTGTTTGCTTGGTCCATTATGTTTGCTTGGTATCTGAGAACACTTCTCCCATATCTGCTTCTAACCATATGAAGTGGAATAAAACTACATAATGACATTCTATCTATCTATCTATCTATCTATCTATCTATCTATCTATCTATCTATCTATCTATCTATCTATCTATCTATCTATCTATCATCTAATTTCAAATTTCTCATATTGTGTCCAATTTGACTGTAATTGAAGAAGATATTTTGAACTTACAGACTAGAGTCAAATGTAATGGTGGTGAAGCAAGAGTGATGGAATGAATATTTTACTGTAAAAAGCTAGCAATTTTTTGCAACAAAGTGTTAATAGGTATCTGAGAAGGAGGCAGGTAAATTACAGAAGAGAAGTAATATCTTGCAGTTTGTGAACAAAAAGGCATAGCATAATGGTGCATTCCAAAAGACAGATTTATGGGGCATTTCTATTAAAGTTTGTCACAAGAACTTTAATCTGTGATAAATAACATAGGCATTTTTAAAGATTAGAGAAAAATGAATGGACTGAAAACCTTATTACTCATTCCCAGGCAGATTAGAAGTTTGCTATTATAAGACATCCAGAAAAAAAGATGGCATGTATGTCACTGTGTTCCATCACTTGACATAGGAGATACACTCACAGCTATTTGTTAGTGTTGAGAAAATGAATTGAGATTTAAAGGCAATAAAGAGTAATGAGAAAGAAAGCTAAAATAGGGGAAATGATGTGATTAATAATTTTCTTTCTTTTCCCACCATGGAAAATTGACAGCATTTATTTTCTCACTTAAGACCCTTTAGGCATAGAAAGCAATAGCAACAACACTTAGACATATACCATCCCATAGTGCTTTACAGCACTCTCAGGGCAGTTTACAGAGTCAGAGTATTGCCCCTGACAATCTGGGTCCTCATTTTACCGACCATGGAAGGATGGAAGGCTGAGTCAACTTTGAACAGGTCAGGATCGAACTCCTGGCAGTGAGCAGAACCTGCAGTACTGTATTCTAACCACTGCACCATCATGGCCAGATGATATAGAGAAGGCATGATATGACTTCCGCATTGCCTCCATATATTTGTGCTCTTGTGAAAGCAATTGAAATGTTACCATCTAGCTGCGCATACATAAAAAATTATATGTGTTTGGGATTCCCAGGACCTGAGAGCATGGCAGCATGCATTGTGCCTTGGCAGTTCAGGTGTCCATATCCAAGAAGATCCCAAACAAGCATGTTATGTTGGGACTGGTGCCAATAATGTGTCCTATTGCATTTTAATAAGCTGAAACAAAAACATGATTCAGATTTGACATAGACTGCTGCATTACTATTATGTACTAGAAATCCCCCGAAGTCCCTTTCAGCCCTATGATTCTCTGCATAGTTTTATCTCACATCTTAGCATTACTCAGTGAGATCTACCCATCTTCAAGCTATAGTAGTAATGAATCTAGATATATTACATTTATTATTATAACATATATTCTGATATAAAGTTCAATAGAAACAAAACGGCTGCTAGAACTCCTTTACTTGGAGGAAATAGTAAGAGACTAAGTAGGACACTATCAGTCAGCTAATAAAAATGAGTTCTCTCAGATTATTCATAATATTTGGTTTAAAATCAACAGGTAAGCATTGGTGAGGTCTGAAACATGCAGACTGGAATTGTTGCAAAAGGGGTTATCCATGCTTTACATTAGAGGAACAAACGCTAACCTAGAATTCTTTTTCTGACCGAGAGTGAATCGGATGATTTTGCTTTGAGATGAGTCCCTGGGTGATGCACTGTACAACAAGAAAGGAAAAAAAAAATTGGAAGATGCAAGTGAGTAAAGAAGAAATATTAATATAGAAAGCCTCTGAGCTAAAAGATATGGAAAAATAATTTATCCAGATGTTTTCAAAGGAGAAAATAATGTTGCTCACCCCAGTCAAATGTCTAGACATGATACCTACTAAAAAAATCCTTCTATGTACCAAAGCAATGATAGTCAAGAGTTTGAGCCTGCACATTTATATCACAAACAAATATTTTTTTTGCAAAATGTCACAAGTGAATTTACACTGTAAAATTAAATGGTAAAACCACCACAGGGTGATATGATGAGATATGTCCCATATAATTGAGTACATTTTGATGCTGAACAGAGAATTATTTTTAAAATTATTGTAATAAATACCAAATTTCACCACATGAGGGTGCCTGCCAAAGAAAGCTTCATGAAAAGGAATTGAGGGAAACCTCATCGTGTAAAAAGTGAAAAAAAGCAATGATAAAATTCAATGTGTATGATCCTCATTTCTCTCTCTCCCTCCCTCTCCTCCCTCCCTCCCTCTCCCCTTCCTCTCTTACTTCAGGTTCATTTTGTTATTGACAAAGATAGGTACTGTGCTATGCTACGCTGAAAATAATGCTAACTATATTTCTTGTATGCAAGTTAGCTTTTTTCTTATTTGAAAAGATACTTTGAATGTTTCAGAGGAGGGTACATTTAAAAAGATTGGCCCCAGCCACTTTATTACAAGTACAAAAGCATCAGGAACCTGTTCTTTTAAGAGTCACCACTGTTTTGCAGTTAAACAGTCAGGTAGCTCCGCGTTGTATATTTCTTTGTCTCCTAAAAAACTGATAGTTGTTTGTAGGGGAAGGGCTTTCAATGAGGAGTCAGCATGGGGTTAGCATTCTTCCTTCTATCCTGGCAACTGCTTTAAAGCATGAAACACAACATTGGGAAATCCAATCATCTCCAAGCACTAGAAGATCCAATTACCTGACTGTAATGACAGAAGAATAAAGCATACACAGTTGTGTAAAGAATGAAAGAAGGAATTCTCTTGTCAGTAGCCACAATCACATTGGAGTTGGCATACATTCATTCCAGCCCAATTAAGGAATGCATATTTCTGGAAAGCAATTTCCACATCTAGTCCCATGACTGAAATCCCAAGCCTATGTGGCTTTTGTGCATACAGGTCCTTCCCCTACAATCCAATTGCCAAGACTGCACAAATGGAGTCCAGTTGCAAAACAATAAATGATCAGCTGTTCAGAGGGCAGGCCTGAAATGCAGTTCTCCCCACTCTGCTCAATTACTGAAAAGCTGAACAACGTGATCTAGTATATATTCTTTTGTTCCGTTGTCACCTTATAAAATTGATCTGGTTTTCAAACGACTGCCAGGATCAGACACACAGGTATTATTTACAGTGTCCATCAGCACAATGGCACCAAATACTCCTTCAGAGTGTTTGAAATACACAGAATTAGATTATTATTTTTAAAATAGAACATTCTACAACTTAAAAAAACAACATAAGAACAAAATGGAAATGGAAACAAATGGCTGAAAACTTACAAGATCGCCCTGAGTCATGGAACTTTGAGTGACACCTCATAAATCTCATATAATAAGAAAAATACTTGTGTAATCTCATGCTGAGATTTTTCATCACCTTTTTAAGATTTCTATCAGCCTGGAGAGGCATATTAGCAATTACAGGTGATCCTCATTCAACAACCACTTGTTTGGCTAATATTCAAATTTGTGATAATGCTGAACAAGTGCTACTTATACCTGGGCCTTGAAGTTCTGACCATGCAGCATCTCCACAGACACATGATAGCAATCCTGGTCCTTCATAACTGGCTTTGTTTTTCAAAGCATCTCAAGGTCATATGATAATGATTTGCAACCTGCCCTGCCAACTTCCCAAAGGGGAAGCCGGCAGGAAGTTGGACATTGCTCTCGTATGAGGTTTGCTTAAGAATCCACACGTCCTCACTTAATGATAGTAACTAGAACTGCTGTTGCTGAGCAACACAGTCATGTGACATTCTGCTTTACAACTGCAGCGTTTAGCAATGGAAGGTCTGGTCCCAATGACTGTTCTTAAGTGAGGACTACCTGTATATGATCTCATAAGACAATGGCCAGAGCTTGAAAAAAAAAAGGCTGATCCCTGTCCTTCTTACAAGGTGCATCTGCTATAAGTACAAAGATATTGAAATAACCTGCTGTGAAACTCTTGGCATTTGAAAAAGCAATGGTTGGAGGTGGGGGTGGTGGGGTTGAAAAAGCCCACTCACCTGGACTGCATTTCTGGTTGTGCTTTTAACTGAAGCTGTGCTGCTTGCTGGGGATGTTGGCACTGAGTCTGAGGCGAAGCTGGCACCAGTGGTTGTGGTTGTAACTGCTGGTCAGGTAGTCCCACCTGGCTGGGGGACGGAGAGCTTGCTTGCTGGGATGAGGTGGGTGGTTGCTGGGATGGAGAGTGGTCTGAATGTTGCTTTGGGGACTGCTGTTGCTGCTGCTTATAACGCGATAGGCTGAAGAAGAGGCCCAGGATAGCCTTTAAATTCCCATTCCTGATCTCTGAAAGGCAATTAATAAAGAAGTATTTATATCATGAAATGGCATGATGACCCAGTTGAACAAATGTTTTGTTAAATTTCAACTTTCTTTGTTCAGCTCAGGCTCCTGGAAGATCCAATTGATCAAAATAAAATTAGAGAATCCTTGCAAAAACAAAAGAATCCTCCAAAAAAATTAATATCTTTTTTTTCTTTTCAGACGGAGGGAGACATAAATTGCTTCTTGTGACCATGGTCCTCCAGAGAAATTCAGTTCAAGATCAGGACAAATAATTGTATATTCAATGAAAAAGTTAAAGAAAGATGTGACAAAATATTCTGGTAAGAAAAAAAATGCCATTCAAATTCTTGTCCATTTTTTTTTTGTTTCTTTCCTTTGACACTGGTTTGGATTATTTGTTGTTCCTAACTTACAGAATATTCTGAAGAACAAATGCGCTGACCTACTGAAACTACATCTAGGATAGCTGCAGAATTAACATCCCCACATATACAGAAATCAAATAAATGTGTGTATCAAGACATTGTCTCTCATCTTTGCACATATTGTATTTATTTCATGCAAACACGGAACTGGCAATTGGCAAGGCTTGGCGTGTCTCCGCAGCAGGAGTGGGTCAGCCAGTGTGACCTTTTCATGCATACTTTCAACATGTGAGAGGGGTCATGTAAACCTCTAAAAGTCTGGGACTTGGCTGTACAGGAAAATGCCATTAAGAAGAAATGCAATTAAAAGCCTCAGTAACTTGATTCTTCAGAATCAATCAGAGGTATTAGCAATAAACCTGATACCCCAAAATGGGAAAAGCAAACCAACACTGGACTTTGTTTTGTGTTGGTTCCAGTGCTTCCAAAATAAAGCATAAACGGTGCTTCCAATGAACTCTACAAATGTATTTTTTCTTATCTCAGGAGATAGACTGAGGTAATTCAACTGGCATTTTGCAATTGGACTTTGTGCACAGAAGGCTCATCAAGGTTAGTCTGAATTACTTCCTCTTACTACCTCCTTCTCCCTTTTAGGGCTGTTGAAGTACACAGACTCCAAAGTTTCAATCCTGTGAGTGTATAACTAGTCATTTCCATTCCAACCCACAAAAAAGGGTTTTGGGGTTTTTTTTTTAAAGCTGAGAACAAAATACTGCCAGATGTCACAGTTTTTAAGGCACAGAGAGTTTCTTTTTGGTCTGGAGTTTGGAAATTTCCATGCTGTGAAGTTCCTTTGGTTGCTTCGATTTCCTTTGGCCCATTATTACATTTTAATATTTGTTTTTTCCTTGAGATGTGAAATCATTCAGTTCTCTAGTGAGACAAAAGGAAGACAAAACAGAAAACTGACAAGTAGGAGGTAGAACAACTTGTATGTAGAAACTGTGCAGGCTTTGTTCAAAAACCACTGCAAGTATATTTGAACCATTTTACATTTAACTTCAAACAGATTTTTTCCCTACAAGCCAATCAACCGCAAGTCATTAGATTCTGAGAATGATAAACAAAAGTATTAATCAGGCTTTACTGGAAGTACTTGATCATTCTCAAAAATGATGAACCTCATAACCTATTCAGAGAAACACAGAAACCTGTTTCTGATCATTCTGGATGAACTTGAATATACATGTGACAATCCATCTGCTCACTTAATATTCTCCTTCATGCTTAAATACAATCAACCGAAGAATGGCAGACAGCTAGAAAAACAGTATAATTATCTCACTGGCAAATGAAGCTGGGATTTCTCCAGTAATCAAAGAGTTAATACTCAGAGCCAAGGAATTCTGTTGACAGGCTACAAACTGGGTGCCACAACTGAAAAAAGAAAATCTGTCAGCTGGGAGGACTTTTCTGGGTTGCGAATCTTCTTCGTAAGCGTTCTGGCAGCTGACACATACAAACATACTCTAAATTCACTTGGGCTCAAGGAGCTGTAGGAACTCAATGGCAGGGCGGCTGCTTTTGTTGTCAAGGTAACTGTGCTACATAGTTTGGAAAGAAAAACTGCATGGTTTGGGAAGAAACTCACAGCTCAGGCAACCTGACTCACAGATAAATAAACAAGAAAAAATAGTCTCACCTTGATTTCCATCTGAGATTAGTGAGAGAGATGTGAGATAGAACATACCGTGGCAGTTTTAACTGCCACTTATTTGAAAGATTTTTAACGGATTTCCGCTTATAAATAAATAACAAGTGAAAGTAAAAGTTCACCTTAGAACTGAGATAAACATGCAAATGCCAGACCAATCATCTTTTGAGCATACAAAGCAGTGTGGAAAAAATAAAAGTAGGGATGGTTAAGACGTGATAAAAGCCAGAAAATTTTACATAGAGTATTTTGAAAAGCAAAACCAAACCAACCAACCAAAGCAAAGCAAAGTGTGAATTACATTACCTGTGAGGTACAATGCATTTTTGACCTAGATTATCCATGTCAGTGTAAACAGCCATTAATTTTGTCAAGGCAAAATTGTATTGCATTTACAAAAATAAAATTAGCCTCCTGCTTATTATTAAAACTGTCAGAAACAGACCTATATTAGATCCCAACAGATGTGAAAGTATTTTTTATATACTGTAAAGGGAGGAGAACTTTGCCCTGATATAAATAAAATGAAGAAAACAATGAAAGGACAAAAGTAGCATGGAGATGGAAGAAAGTGAATTTATTCTAATTAATGTGCATTCCAATACGTTCAGAAACCTACTTGTTAATATCCAGCAGTCTTATCCAGAAAGAAAGAATGAATTGGCCATAGCTCAGGGATATAGAACAAATTAGACATGTAAATACATATTCCTGTTTAATTTTAGTATCCCAAGTGGGCCTGGGAGGGACTGTGTTGTGACATCATAGATTATTTCAGATCGTTATACTTGGTCACAACAGAATATAATACTGAGCTGAATGGATGAAGATTTCATATGAGGCAACTGTTTTTATGAATAACTTCAGGGTTCTTTTTACTGCAAAAAGTCCATCACTTATATTGTCTGAGTAAAAATAAGGTATTTCAACCATTGCTTAACATATTTATGTTGCTTTTTTCTACAAATAGTTCTTACATGGATTTCTAGTCATTTTTTTCTTATGCAATAATTTCCCCCCTTTTAGCTTTTCACTGTGAAATATTCCATTAAGAATTTTTCACTCTCACCCTCTCAAAATCAGCCTCTTGTATCGACCTGATCATGTGGCTATTCTCCCTAAATATTTATCTCTCAAGATTATAATGAATTTCTTGCAAATTACCTTCAAAGCATTTTAGATTTTTTTATTATCACACTGAAATTGGATTTGACCAGTATGTCTGTTCAAAATATTTTTCTAATGCAAACTTGAAACTGTCAATGTAAGGTTTAGAAGAAATGACCTGAATACATAGTGTTCCCATGTTTACTTAAATCTTCATTATGCTTTCTTCCTTCTTTTCCATGTGATGAATGTTGAAATTTAAATCCCTTAGAGCATGAACAGCTCGCTATTAATATATAACACACTGATAGTGAAAGTAATCAAAAATTATTATGACTTACAGTATATTATTATCATTACTATGATTTGCTAGTGTTAATCAATGGATTTCCTTCTATTACATTCATTTTATTTCTATCAAAAATCACTGCATATTTTGAAGCCCAAATAAAAATTGGCAGATAGAAAATTTTCCATAGAATAATAAAATTCAATTTAAAAGTAGTCTTACCTTCTGCAGATAGTCCCTGTATGTTTATTCCTTTAGCAGCCAGAAAACTCAGGCACACATCTATGTTTTCAATCTTAAAAGATAAGGGATAGGGGAGGAAATAATTTTTTTATAATGTGCTGAATTTAACTTGTACTTTTGTTCAATATTATACAAAAAACTAACTGGCTATGAAATGTTCATATTGAGAACAAAATTCTATTTGCATAATGGATTCCTTATCTCATCTATTCCCCCCCCCCCTTATATTTACCAATATTCATCTTGGAAGTTTCAACCAAACTTTTGACTAGAAATGGGGAGAACAAGGACAGTAGCAGTTAATGTCCTATATGCTGATAACAGTCCCTTATTAGATATAGTCTTGGATTATTGGCTAAATATGCTGAACGTTTCATAGTTATATTTGTATCTCCTTTTTAATTCCAAGAAACTACCATAAGCACAATGTTTCCTGAATAAATACATAGTTCATTGCTTACATTTTTGTGGAGTGACATTTTTGGTTTATGTTACCTATGCTGGAATAAAATCCATGTGTAACTCCTTGTGAGTTGAATTATCTTAACCACTGTAGCTAAGGTTTTAATTTTTTGATAATTTTCATGATATGAGAAGAATTGCTTAGCATGCAAAAGTACTTCTCCATAAACATTCCTAGCAATGCTATAGCGGAAGGCGGAAGCACAATTTTTCAGTATTTCATATCAGCTTTCTCAAAATTAAAAAGTAACCTTATAATTATTTGATACAAAAATACCATTTATCTGAAACAAAACACCAAGTTTCTAGATGTCATAGCAGAAAAATGCAAACCTG